ACCGGTACTGTCCCCCAGTGTTACACAGTGACAGACCTGTCCCCACCGGTACTGTCCCCCAGTGTTACACAGTGACAGACCTGTCCCCACTGGTACTGTCCCCCTGTGTTATACAGTGACAGACCTGTCCCCACAATGCTGGCGACATGCCAGTGATGGCATGTATCTGCTGCCCTTATCCTTCTCGATGGAGGTGGTTGTGGGTTTGGATGGTGCTGTCTGAGGATCTATGGTGAATTTCTGCAGTGAATCTTGTAGATGGATGTTTGTGGATGTGGTGCCAATCAAGCGGGGGCTGCTTTGTCCTGGATGGTGTCAAGCTTCTTGAGTGTTGTTGGAGCTGCACACATCCAGGCAAGTGGGGAGTATTCCATCACACTCCTGACTTGTGCCTGTAGACGGTGGAAAGGCTTTGGGGAGTCAGGAGGTGAGTTACTTGCCACAATATTCCCCCTAGCCTCTGTTCTGCTCTTGTAGCCACTGTTTTTATGTGGCGAGTCCAGTTGAGTTTCTGGTCAATGGTAATCCCTTGGATGTTGATGGTAGCATCATTGAATGTCAAGGGACAGAGGTTAGATTTTTTTCTCATTGGAGATAGTGATTGTTTGACATTTGTGTGGCATGAATGTCACTTGCCACTTGTCAGCCCAAACCTGGATATTGTCCAGATCTTGTTGCATTTGAATATAGTTGCTTCAGTCTCTGAGGAGTCATGAATGGTGCTGAGCATTGTGCAATCATCAGCGAACATCCCTACTTCATCCCCACAATTTTACTAGGGCTCCTTGATGCCACACCCTGTCAAATGCAGCCTGAATGTTAAGGGCTGTCACTCTCACCTCATCTCTGGAATTCAGCTCTTTTGTTCATGTTTGAACCGAGGCTGTAATGAGGTCAGGAGCTGGGTGGCCCTGGCAAAACCCAAACTGGGCATCACTGAGCAGGTGCTGGTTAATAGCATTGCTGATGACACCTTCCATCACTTTACTGTGATCGAGACTAGACTGATGGGGCAGTAATTGGGGAGGTGATGGTCTAGTGGTATTATCATTGGACTGTTAATCCAGAGACCCCAGATAATGTTCTGGGGACCTGGGTTCGAATCTCGCCATGGCAGATGGTGGAATTTGAATTCAATAAAATATCTGGAATTAAGAATCTAATAATGACCATGAATCCATTGTTGATTGTTGGGAAAAACCCATCTGGTTCACTAATGTCCTTTAGGGAAGGAAACTGCCATCCTTACCTGGTCTGGCCTACATGTGACTCCAGACCCACAGCAATGTGGTTGACCCTTAACTGCCCTCTGGGCAATTAGGGATGGGCAATAAATGCTGCCTGGCCAGCAATGCCCTCTTCCTGTTAATGAATAACAAAACAACAATTGGCTGGGTTGGATTTGTCCTGCTTTTAATGTACAGGACATACCTGGGCAATTTTCCAATTGGCATGTAGATGCCAATGTTGTAACTGGACTGGAACAGCTTGGCTAGGGGAGCAGCAGGTTCTGGAGCACGTCTTGAGTATTATTGCCAGAATGTTGTCTCGCCCATAGTCTTTGCAATATCCAGTGGAGTGAACGGAATTGGCTGAAGACTGGTACCTGTAATATTGGGGACCACTTGACCCTGCTTTGCTTGGTAATATCATAGCTGATCTGATTGCAACCTTAAATCCACATTCCTGCCTACCCCAATGACATTTTGCCTACAGAACATGAATCTACTTCAGCCATAAAAGTATTTGAAGACTCTGCTTCCACTACCGTTTCAGGAAGGGATTTCTAAGGAATCATGACCCTCAGAGAAAAACGTTTGAGTCATTTCTGTTTTAATAGGTGACCCCTGATTTTTACATCATGATCCTTAGCTCTAGATTGCCCCACAAGAGGAAACAGCCTCTCCACATCTACCTTGTCAAGAAACTGCACAATCTTTATGTTTGAATGAGACAAAGAGACTGAGGGGGAAAACAGGATATGACAGTAAGCTTTCAGGAAACATACCCAAAGAAGCTTTTACTATCAGTTTGTATGTGAAGAGAAAAGGATTAGTGAAGACAAATAGAGATCCTCTACAGTCAGAAACAGGGGAATTTATAATCAGGAACAAAGTGATGGCAGCCAAATAAATACATC